TAAACCACAAAATAAACTCTTTCTTTTAAAATACTTTGAAACAGTACCTAGTGCACATCAGAAGCGGAAAATAGTCCTTGAGTTAGCCATTTAACAAACTATGAAAATCAAACAGGTAACGTGTAAATGAAAGCAGTAGGAGGCTCATGAAGCTTAAACATAAGGTACTGTGCAATGCACAAAAGTAGAGAAAAAAGGATAAGAACAGGATCTTAAGGTAGAGAGGGAAAGTATCAAAAGGGAAGGAAGATATCAAGAAGGGAGAGATGTAAGCACAGACGGAGGAAAGGAGACAGAGGGACCACTAAAGAGCATAAAACATGTCCAAAACTGAACAGTTTTGCAGCAGAAATTGACTATCTGAAACACTTTACACCTCAGCGCCCTCAACGCTTTCCACAGAAAGCAGACTCACAGCCATACTGCCAGTGTCTCTGCCTGGCAGGCTTCCCAACTCTCTAGGTATCCAGGAAGCTGTTTCCCTAGAAATTCTGCTCTGAGACGCAGAAAAACACTGAGCACCCAGTGTCTAAAGGGTAGAGTTTTCTGCTGGTGATACTCACAAGTTGCTAAATTCTTCTCTTTTGTAGCTAGAAAGATACAATATCCTTTCTTAGTCCTCAGGGACAGGCTTCTACATAATAGATACGTTATAATTCTCCACATCCTACTAATCCTTCTGTAAATTAGTCCAAATTTGAGTTCACTTTGTCCCATCATTTGATCAACAGCAGAAAGATGTGGTTTCTGCAGTACCTTTTTATACAAAATTAAATCTTCATATCTGTAGTAGAAATACTTCACTTTATACATTGTAATAATATTATAACTTTTACAGTAAATTAGTATCTTCTGCCAGATCAAAGAATGCAGCCGAGGGAAACTATAAAAAATAATTCTTTCAATCCATAGTTCTGTGTGCTTGAAATTTTAACTAGTTTTTCACTCATGTCAATGGGCCTAAGAACTACTTTTCTTACAAGTCTTATCTTGTTCTCAGACCACCATGGCCACAGTAATAGCATTACAATGATCCAGCAATATATTTCTCTGCTTCACAACCAAACCACAATGATGCTTTGCAATCATCTTGTAATCAACTACCACACACAGCAATTTATCTAACCATGCCACTAGTCCCAGGGTACACCACACTGTACTCTATACTGGTGCATTTCACTCCATTTCCATTTACTACAGTCTAACGTCATCAAGCTTTTCCAGTAAAATATTCATATTTTTCTCCATTTTAGCAACAATTCCCAAACTTGGTTTAGTGAGTTGATTCTATTAGTATTCATTTACTACTTTTGGCAAGGTTATTAGCAAAAATACTAATGAGATTAGCCTCCAGACTGGTCCTAGACCCACTGCTCTAACCTGAACACCTTTTCCTTCAGGACCCATTGCAGTCACTCTGTTAGCTTAGTAAAAAAGTGATGTTGATCATCTGAAGAAAAATGAGCTCTATTGTTAACAGGGAGTACTGCTCTCAGTAACACACCTCCAAAAGCTCAACTGGCCTTTGACCCCAGAAAGTGAGGGGTTCCTACAAAATTAATCCTTTCAGTCTCTTGACTTTTTCATTGTTCTCATGTTCCGGCTGTCTCTTCCCAGAACAGCAGAGCAGGGGCTTTTTAACTCCTCTGTGCTACAAAGGAAGAATAACTAGGTCATTTAAAAAAAAATAGTTCATTTGATTAGTCTTTCTTCCCTAGCTTTTTTTTTTTTTTTCATTGCATTTTTATACCTGCTTTTAGGCTACTGAAGCTTCTCAGGAGTAGAGCCTTGGGTTGATGATCAGCTCTTTAACCATTTCCTCTTGCAATTACTGTAAAGTCACAATCGCTTAAAGCACACTATAAGCCTTATTCAAATTAAAAAATCTGCAATTTTAAGCCTGCTGTATATAAATGGTATTATATGGTTATAGACAGTATTTAATAATTTTTATGTGATGTGTCATTGTCATTGCAGAATAATACAAACCATTATGAGATCTCACTAGTAAGCACAAATTTCTGTGACAAGTATGGAACAAGTTAATTACTTGCTCTTAACTTATTTTTCATATTCCTCTCAATTAATGTTAGCAAAATTATTTACTGTGAATGACAAAAATGAAATTCACCTAGTGGAAAAGTCTGCCAGGAGAAAAAGAACGCACTTTGCTCTCAGATTTAAATATTTGTCTATTATCTGACAGAATAGCCATGTGCAGTATTTATTAATGTGTCATCTCAATGGAAGCCTACAAAATAAAAGATACTGCCCCTATGCATAAGAAAAGGAAAAACAAATCAAATTAAGATTACTTACTTGATTAAGTATATCTTGTTTCTGTAACGCATGCAAGGAAAGAAAGAACACACATATTAGTGCAGTGTTGTAACACTCAGGCTGCTTTTATAATAGAACTATTTTTGTTGCGAGGTTAGTGATGTAGATGAACAGCTTTAAGACATTCAATAGAATATCCCATTTTCTTGCATTAGCACGTATGTCAAGAAAATGGTTCTAAGTCAGCATCCTAGTCTTGATTAGAGAGTGCAAGCAATTTATTTTTAACCATGCAATGACAGATAACAAAAAAAAGTAAATACGTCTGCCTCTCATCCCTGTGAACTTTAAAAAAAAATAAATTAAAGTTTACTTGTTGCCAAGAATAGTTGCTAACAACACAACTTAATCAGAAGTGAATACAATGATAAATTCCATAAATACATTAACAACAAAAGGAGGGCTAAGCAGAATCTCCATGCTTTATTGGATGCGGGGGAAACATAGTCACCCAGGATGAGGAAAAGGCTGAGATACTTAATGACTTCTTTGCCTCAGTCTTTAATAGTAAGTGCAGTTGTTCTTGGGCTACTCAGCCAGCTGAGCTGGTAGACAGAGACAGCCCCCATAATCCATGGGGAAATGGTGAGTGACCTGCTACACAACTTAGACACACAAAAATCTATAGAGCCAGATAAGATCCACCAAAGGCTACCAAGGGAGCTGGTGGACGTGCTCACCAAACCAATTTCCATCATTTATCAGCAGTCCTGGCTAACCAGGGAGGTCCCAGTTGACTGGAGGTTAGCAAATGTGACGCCCATCCACAGGAAGGGCAGGCAGGAGGATCCCAGGAATTACAGCCCTGTCAGTCTGACCTTGGTGCTGTTGATAGTTATGGAGCAGATCATCTTGAACGCCATCACACAGCATATACAGGACAACTAGGTGATCAGGATCAAGCCCAGTCAGCATGGGTTTGTGAAAGGCAGGTCCTGCTTGACTAACTCGATCTCTTTCTATGACAAGATGACCTGCTTAATGGATGAGGAAAAGGCTGTGGATATTGTTTACCTGGGCTTTAGTAAAGCCTTCAACACTGCATTCTCCTGGAGAAACTGGGTGCTCATGGCTTGGATGGGTGTACTCTTCACTGGGAAAAAACTGGCTGGTGGGCTGGGCCCCAAGAGTTGTGGTGAATGGAGTCAAATCCAGTTGGTAGTCAGTCACAAGTGGTGTTCCCCAGGGCTCAGTACTGAGGCCAGTTCTGTTTAATATCTTTACCAATGATCTGGACGAGGGGATCGAGTGCACCCTCGGTAAGTTTGCAGATGACACCAAGTTGGGCATGAGTGCGCATTGGGCACTGAGGTGCTGGAGGGTGTCCAAAGAAGGGCAATGAAGCTGGTGAAGGGTCTAGAGTGCAAGTCTTATAAGGAGCAGCTGAGGGAACTGAGATTGTTTAGCCTGGAGAACAGGAGGCTGAGGAGAGACCTTACTGCACTCCACAATTACCTGAAAGGAGGTTGCAGCAAGGTAAAGATTGGTCTCTTCTCCCAAGTAACAAGTGATAGGACCAGAGGAAATGGCCTCAAGATAATCCAGGCTAGGTTTAGTTTTGATACTAGGAAAAACTTCTTCACTGAAAAGGGTTGTCAAACATTGGAATAGGCTG